GGCTGATCTTTATTTCCGTTGGGTCACCGTCACTTCTGTCCTTGACTCTCGACTGCCGTTGTCGTACTTAGAAAACGCGAAGGATGTTTCTGGGGTGATCGGTTTCAAAACGTGAAAAGAGCGTCTCGTTTCGGGCGAGGGGGAGGCGGAGTCATTTCGGGTCGCTCGTGGAGTTGGTTGGACAAGGACCCGCCCGCGCTTTGTTCTTTAACGTTGGGATTTGTCAATCTGGCTGCTCTAAGTGACTTACTATTTAGCTCTGAGATTTATGCCATTGGCATAGCTTGGTCTGTATCCAAGTAGTTTCTTTCTGGTTTTTATCCCCACATTTAGGAAAACTCTAGCGCTCTCCTTGGATTTATTACTCATGTTTACTTTAATGAGTGATTTCAATTTATTTTTAAAAAATACAAGTGAGAGTACACAGCATTACATAAAGACCCATCGTGTTCGTTGCATAGTTCAATGATTCCTTTCCTATTTCTTGAATGTGACAGAGCGGTTTTCTTTCTGCAGGACCTTAGTCAAAATCTTGAGAGCAGCACCATTCAAAAGCAGAGGCAAGAACTCCAGCTGTTAATCGCAGAACTGAAAGATCGCGATAAGGAGCTCAATGACATGGTTGTAGTGCATCAGAGACAGTTGTTAGCTTGGGAGGATGATCGCCAGAAAATACTAACATTGGCAGAACGGTGTAGCCTGTTAGAAAGTAAGTGCCGTGCAGAGTAAGGCTCCAGTCCCATAAGCAGAGTGCAGAGCCCCATCTGTAATAGTGTTACAGCACTGGAAGGATGGTCTTATTTTCTTCTAAATTATAGGGCCCAGTATCCTTCCTAAAACCGCAGCTCCTCAGAAGTATTAAACCGGTCTCGTTGTGAATTGGCAGAGATGGAGTGGATATTTGGATGGATTCTTTTCCATCCTAAAATCACATTTTGACTTCTCAGTGCTTGCTCACTTAGAAGCTTGTAATTTTGCAAATTATCATAAGATTTGCAAGAAAAAAATGTTCATGAATATCACAGAGTACTCCATGCCATCTGGAGCTAGAACACACCTATGCCATCAGAAGGGCACTTGCATCCAGTAATAGCGAGGCACTGGAAAATCTCTGTCCTCAGCCACACTCAAGTAGTAGGTCACAACAGAAAGAATTCCATCCGTCCTAGATTACCATGGAAATAGTAGAAATACTAGAATGACAGGGAGGGAGGGAGGGAGCTGCACAGAGCTAGCAGATTATTTGATTTAGTAACTCTAGGTGCTTTTCACTTTTAAGAGACTCTTGCCTGTTACTATTTAACTTTCTGTTATAGGGAAATATAACTCTTCTTTCTTAGTAGAATCTGCTGTCCAGTTGTTGGCACTGGTAACTCTTTACGCACTCAAGTCTGTACAGATAAGTAGGGAAGAAACATGTCAGGTAAAAATTCATGTGTCTGCCTCAGGATTATGCAAACCATGCATCCACTTTTAAAATTAAGTCCCTTACTTTAAACACTGGGTTAAAATACTTCTGCCTTTTTGAAGGTGTGCGTAAAATTAGTACATAGCTATTTGCTGACTACAAATACCTGATTCTTCCCCCCCTCTTTGTTTTTGCAGATGAACTGCTCAAGAGAAACGAGATGATAAGAACACTAACTAAAAGATTAAAGCTCTTGGAATCTCAGCAGAATGACCGAAGGACAACTCTTGAAAGCACTCAACAGAAGCTTAAAGAGTTGTCTCAAAAAGCAGCAGATACAACGCTTCATTGCCAGGTCCTGGAGGTAGGTCTCGATTCATAGGTATGTCTTCCCAGTGCACATGTGCATAAGATAAAGACATCAGTGAGTAATTTCCCTATAAAATCTACAGATTTGCGCCTCCATGGTTAAGTTTTTTACTATTATAGCATGTAAAAGTAAGAATCAATAAATAGCTTTGACAATTTGTATCACTGCTTACACTGGAGTATGTTATTGGGGGGAATAGGCAGGGGCGATGCGTTACAGGGTGCTCGCAGGTGCATGTGCACCCCCTGCAAAAAGGCCATCCCGCCGACGGTGGCCTCTGCGGGCAGTCCCTGATCGCCTCTGGCCTGCAGGTGGTCACTGACCCGTGGCTGGCGCTGTCCAACCCCCTCCCCCCGATGCTGACAGTGCTGGTGGCGTCTGCAGGAGCTCTTTGCTCACTGCCGATGGGCTCCCATCACCGCTGGCACAGCTGTGCCCTCCCAACCATCAGGCACACACCATTAATGAGAATAGGACACTTTTGGAAGCAAGTCCTACTGTTCGTATACCAGTTTTTACAAAAACTTCACATTTTGTGAACCATTCTTTTATTTGGAGATCTCAAAGTGCTTTACAAACCCTAAAGGCACACAAGCTTTCTGAGTCAGTGAGTAAGTAATATTCTACCTATCTTGTAGATAAGTAAACCAAGGCACAGAGCTGTTAAGAGACTTGAATATTGCCATTTTGAAGGGCTGGGAAAGGTAACCAGGCATTCTGACTCTGTCCCCTTTTCTATGCAACTGACCATAGGAGAAAGTGGGAAAGCAGTCAGTTAGGTCCACAGTAAATACCAGGTGCATAGCTGTCACTCATGTGTTTTTTATCTCCTTTCCGGTTCCTTTCTTGAAATGGACTCTCCTACTCAATGCTTCAAGGTCTAGGAAAATGTGATGTGGGCCATTTTGTTTTGCTTTTTATTTTTTGAAAGCAGTCTGTATACCACTAGAGATTCACTTCCAAAATAATTCTGTTTTTCCCTCTGGAACTTTTTCCTATTTAAGTAGCAATACACATTATCAAAGCATTTTATTAATTCTTGAGACAATCCTTCACATCTTATGGGTCAAAAACCTGATGTACCTCGCCAGAGGTTGTGCTGTGATCTGAGGAATAAGCAAGCTTAGAAATAAGGAGCTTCTGCTCCCAGTCCCTGCTTTCTGCTCACTAGGCCACAGTGTTGCTCTCTTGACATGGAATTGGCGTTATGCATATATTTACAGGGGAAAGAAACAGCATGTTCTTTACTTGCTGAAGTGTTTGTACTACCAAATATACCTAAATGATAACGGTTTTCTTTGTATTTGCTAGGAGAAAAATCAGAGCCTCAACTGCTCAGTATTGGAGCTGTCAGCTAAAATTGGCCAGTTACAGGCTAGAGAACAGGAACTTGTTACTATGCTAAAGCTAAAGGTAACGCTTCTTCTGTGTCTTCTCACTGCATACTCAACATATCTGTGTGAAGCTGCAATGATAGTATTGGTGACTGCCATATAGATCAGTGTTAATCAGGTTGTTGGAGGAGAAGTTTAAATGAGTATGCAAAATCTCGAACAAGGTAGAAACTAATATTTTCATAAGGGGCTGCGAACCTTTCTAAACACACTTGGTTTTGATGGTCAAGAGTTGTCAAATCATTGTACAGGGGTTGGTATAGTGACTTGCCGTTGCTGCTGCATCTACCTGACAAAATGGCAAGACCTAAAAATGAAGATGAAAAAGCATACTCCATTTTCATGTTTTAGGACAAAGATATACTTGAAGCAGGCAATTATATTGCTGAGTTTACATCCAAATTTAAAAAGCTGGAGAATGCATTGCGTGCAGCAAAGGCAAAGGAATCTAGTATCAACAAAGAAAAGCAGGATTTCAAGCTGAGCCTGAAAGAACTAATGTTGGAAATGAGTAAATTGAAAGGTAAGTGTTCTATATGATATCTTGCTCGCCCCGTATCTGAATGGTTTCCTTTCGCTCAGAAGCACCCTCTTTTATTTTAAAGAGGACCTCAGTGAGAAGACGAAAGAAAATAATGAGCAGCGGGAAGAAGTCATACGCCTCAAACAGGAGAATGGCTACCTGAAGAATGAGCTAATGCTTAGCGGTGAGCATTTCTATTTACAAGGAGAAATATTGTGCATTTCCCTGACACACACACACACAAGAGTGGGAATGATTACTGAGTTTCCTTTTCATATATGAGTATGATCACCTGAAGAGAAAAATGATTCAGCCAGTGATGACAGAAAGAAACGCATTTCAAAAATACTGCTAGAAACTTTGAAGTGAGATGAGTGTTGTAAGTGAGAATTCATCACTTAACATTCTGTTTAGTTGCTCCACAAGCTATAAAAAGAGCTCTCTATTAGGCAAAAGTGTGGCATTGCTCCTAAGAGAATAGCGTGTCTGAAATCTCCCTTGGCAGTTTTCAGTTATTGACTTTGATTTCTAGTGGGAAAATAATTGCGTTTCTTACATTTTTTTAAACAGTTGAGAAAGCAAACAGGAAGGATCAGCTTCTTCAGTTTGCCAAGTCCAAACAAGTACGGACTGATACAGAGCTGTCCAGTTTGCGGCAGGTACAATCCTTGTTGCGTTTCTCTGTTGATGGTACTTAGTTTTAACGAACAACATTTACCTCGTCATAGAATTGCACTATTGGTCAAGAGAACAAGCAGTTCAACTGATCTTGTTCATTATAAATCACTATAAAATTTGTGCTACTTATCTATTGCAACCAGGAACTTATGGTGTGAATCCATTTTTTTCACCTTAACCATGATAATTAAAACACTAATTTATATGTATTCAGTGCCATAATGAATTAAGTCCAAGCCCTGCATAGATGTATGTGGTTAGTTTCCCACACTGAGGTTCATTCAGAGCCCATAAAGTGGGATGCTTGCATGAGACTCAACAGGATTTGGATCTATGATCATGGGACCATGATTTAAAATAAACAGTTACCAAATGCGTGTTGGTTTCATATTAAATTATTTTGGAAAAGGACCTTTGTCATGATTTGTGGAATTCAAATAAAAAAAGAATTAGGGGCTTTGTCTTCAGAGGTGCTGAGTAAACTCATGTGGGAATCAAGGGGTAGTGCACTGCAAGTGATGCTGTCTTTCTTCTGGTATGCAAAACCAATGTCTTCCCCATTTGCAAACACTGGATGATCCTGTGTACTTTTGGAAAGTGGAGTGGTGGTAGTTGTGGTGTGTGTCTGGTAACTTTTGTTTCACCGTCAATATGTTTTACCGCTTAGTTGGATATGATCTTCAGTTCTCGCTCTATAATGGTATGTATTGTTGCCATGTCTTGCTGTAGGGGTACTGTGTTTTTTCAGCACTGGAGATTGTGGCATTGACATAGGAGAAAAATAATTCTTGTATGGAGCTGATCCTTTTCTTTTTTTTTCCACTTACAAAATCTGGCTCATAGTTTGACTATCAGTATTGGCTTGTGAAATGTTTTGGAAATAATTTGGGATGAAAAGCAGTATGTTAATATAAAATGGCAAAATTCTTTGCCCGTCCAAGTTTAATTGTTTTATCACTATCTGAATCTAGATCTATGTAAAGCAGCAGCATGATTTGCAGTTTCTTCATTTCAACTTGGAGAGTTCACAGGAATTAAGGCAGAAACATGAGAAAGAGGCATGTGAAACAAGGTAAGCTTGGCAGCGTAACCTGCAGACCATGTTTGTTCTGAGTTTGAGGAGAGGATCTTCCCACTGGGTCATGTTTAGCCTTCTACCAAGTAACTGTACAATACTTCAGAGCTTATGGACCTGTGTGAAAAGAGAGCGTCTCTGGACTCTGAGGCACTAAATGTAAATCAGTTATCCAGTAGTCTTATTTGGTTAAGAGACCAATGCATGTAATGCCTATAAGTCAAAATAAAGCAAAGGGACAGAACTTGCCCAGCATAACTGCTATGTCAGAGAGAAATGCTATCATAACATCTTATTTATAGAAATGAGCATGAGAATAAACTTAAAAAATCATCTAAACACAAATGTGTTTAGTAAAATAAGCCCCCCAGCCTGGTAAATAAGTCCTGTTTTGAGTCATCTCTTTGCCAATGTTTAATCGGCCTGTTTTATAATATATTATTTATTTAACGACTCCAATCCCAATGGATGCCTTAGCTTTTTCTTGAGTGCCTGTAAGGCATATAGGACATAAATATTTCTTGGGGAAAAAAAAGTCAGTTACATTTTCAGCTGTTCAAGAAACTATGATGTTCCACTTTAGAAAATCCCTTTGGTCTTCAGGCTGGATAGTCCTTAAACTGTGCTTGGCCACATGCTTTTAGCTGCATATAGTTTACTCAGAAACTGAGGGAATTCAGGGAACAGCATTTTGGTATGAATTACTTCTTTATATTTTAAAATCCAAGTTTCCAGTTTTTTGTAATTTCTACAGTTCTAAAGTACCAAAAGTCTTGAGAACCTATCCTATGAAGTGTAATGTGCAGCTGGACAACTACAGCTGTGCTGACTTCAGAGGGGCTTTGGTTAGGTGCAGTTCTCTGCCTGTGTGCTATGTGCCACAGGACTGTGGCTTCAGCCTGCATCCAAACTGTGTGTTAGACCAAGTGCAATTCATCTGAATTATTAAATGCATTATTGTGACTTGAGTTCTTCATCATGCCATTGTAGCAGACCATTATCAGCAGACCTTGAAAGTAACTGCGAGGAGGATACAGTTAGGAGTGAGGGCCTAACTCAGAAGATGCCTAAGGAATACAGGACTACAGAGGCACAGAAATGCAGACTAAGAACCATCTGTAATGTGTGCCTACCAGAAAAGGTGGTGGATGTGTCAGCCATAGAGGAAAGTACCTCAGCACGCTTACATCGCCTTCAGAAAGGCTTATTAGAGAGGCAGAAAGCTCTGTTTGTGGAGAAGGAGGAGGAGGAAAAGCAGGATGCTTCATCTAGGAGTGATGAGCCAGAAAGCAGAACTCTGTCGAGCACCGACAGTACAAGGCCAGGGAGAAGCAAGGACACATTTCATACTTCACAAGATGATAGTTTTTTTAGAGGAAACCAGCAAACCTTTGAGGCCAGTCTACCTATACATGAGCACTGGCTCAGCTTCAGTTCCTGTTTGGTTTCTTCAAGTGCTTTGACCCAGCATGCCAGCAAACCTGACAAAACTGATTTCGAATGTAAAGGTCAGAAAGATACAGCTGGAATTTCATGTGGCTCAAAAAGCAGCGAGTCTCTTAGTACAGTGGACATGTTTGAATCTGGCTGCTATCATACAAACTCTGATGTAGATAAAGCTACCTGGTGTGAGCCAGTAACAGATCTGGAATGGATACAGATTTTCAAACCCATAAAAGATGATGGGAATGTATGGCACAAGTCTGTTTGCAACTCTCCCAAGATTGTACCTGAGATACAAAGTACCAGCCTAAAAAGGTTACCTGTTTCTTTGTATTATAAACTAAGCTACAGCTATACTTTCAGGCTACTTGATAACTTGTGTCTTTCCAATACAGTCTTTAAAATCATTAGTTTTACAACAAGACACTCAGCTTGAGCCCTTGTACGTTTTTAAAATAAATAAAGAAAAGCTCTAGGTATTGAGGGGAAGATAGAGATTTTTAAAGTATCTTTTGGTCATAGAGATTCTGGCTGTTGAACCTGTTATAGGGCAGCAATTTGTGCACAAGCGTGGCGTTTTAAGGTGGCAAGAAAACAACCCTCATTTCTGTAGACACCTTTTATTGCTACTTTACTGCTTTTCAGCTGACAGCTCAAGGAGTGGCTGAACCAAAGACAGACACAGCTTGCTACCTGATCTACTTCAATTCAAACCATGCTACTGAGAGAAGGAAAGTGAAATGACTTGTAGGTTTAAAAATAAGTGCAAAAGAAAGTTAATTTAGTAGAGCTCCCTCAGCACTCTCTTCGTTAGTTGTCTGCCACCTCTTTTTTGAGAAGGCGGTGTTTACATTAGGAAAAATGGAGATAATAACAGAGGTGAGAGAGACCAGCACAGAAACTAGCTGAATGGGCAGCCATTT